TATTCTGCCAACTGTAGGCTAGTTTAAGTGTTCTGAGCGCATTTAAGGTGGGCTGGTCTAAGCTCTGAGGCTCCGTAGGGTAGGTGTCTGAAATGCATTTTTGACATACAACATTTTCAACTTATGACAACCCATCGTAAGTCCAGGAATATATGTACCTCCTCCTCTGTGACCCCAAAGAAACCTGGCTCTGAACTAACAGTGGCACCTCCAGAGTTTCCTTGAGAGAGGAGTTTAGACAAAGAGAAGGGGGTGGGATAACATAGCAGATCTGGATGTGCTGTGTCATGGCCACCAAGCTCTTCCCAGACATCCCAGCAGAGCTGAGCCCAACGCCCACAGCAGCGACCTTCATAACGCACCCTCACCACCCTCTCTTCTCTACTTCTCATCCAAAGATTTTTCATTCTTTCATTCATTTTCTGAGCTTAGACGTACCCAGTGCTCTTGCAGGCACTGATCAAAGAGTCAGGCACCTGTCTCTCAGGCCCCTTTCCTTCTGTTTTTCTGTCATTTGACTGATTCCTTTGCCCACTGAATGAACCACCTAAGAATAATGAACCATACCTCGAATAATTTCTTTGCCTAGTCAACTGCGATAAACTTCACCACATTCACTATAACCAAAAGCTACAAGTGGGTGCCCCAATTCTAAAATCTTAAACTCTAAACTTCCACACGCAGGACACAGCTTTCCTTCTTTCTGTTTCTTTCTTTTATTCACCAGACTTAACACTTGACACCCCAGGCCATCCAAAACACCTCTCCTTATCACTGTACCTTTTAGTTGCTTTTGTTTTTTCCCTGTTTTACTGTGATATAATTGACATAACTTTGCATTAGTTTAGGTGTTTTGCCTAATGATTTGATATATATTTTTATCGTGAAATGATTACCACAGTAAGTTTAGTTAACATCCACCACCTCACGCAGTTAGAAAGTCTTTTTTCTTCTTCTTTATATATATATATATATATATATATATATATATATATATATTTTTTTTTTTTTTATATTTTTGGCTGCGTTGGGTCTTCATTGCTGTGCACAGGCTTTCTCTAGTTGCGGTGAGCGGGGGCTACTCTTCGTTGTGGCGCACGGACTTCTCACTGCGTTGGCTTCTCTTGTTGCAGAGCACAGGCTCTAGGTGCGCGGGCTTCAGTAGTTGTGACACGTGGGCTCAGTGGTTGTGGCTGGTGGGCCCTAGAGCGCAGGCTCAGTAGTTGTGGTGCACGGGCTTAGTTGCTCTGCAGCATGTGGGATCTTCCCCGACCAGGGCTTGAACCCGTGTCCCCTGCATTGGCAGGCGGATTCTTAACCACTGCGCCACCAGGGAAGTCCCAGTTTTTCTTTTTATGATAAGAACTTTTAAGGTCTACTCTCCTAGCAACTTTCAAATATACAATAGAGTACTGTTTACTATAGTAACTATATTGTATCTTATACCCTAGAACTTATTTATCCTGTAACTGGAAGTCTGCATCTTTTGATCACCTCTCCTATTCCCCCCAGCCCCTATGTGACAGTATGGTATTTGTCCTTCTCTCACTTATTTCACTTGGTATAATGCCCTCAAGATGCAACCATGTTGTCAAAAATGGCAAGATTTCATTCTTTTTTAATGGCTGAATAATATTACATTGTGTGTGTATTATATGTATATGTACACTATATCTATATATATTTATACCCCATTTTCTTTATCCACTCATCCACGGATAGACACCTTGTTTCCATGTCTTGGCTATTGTGAATAATGCTGTAAAAAACATAGGAATGCAGATTCCCATTCGAGATCCTGATTTCATTTTCTTTGAACACATACCATAAGTGGGATTGCTGGATCATATGGTAGCTCTATTTTTAGTTTTCTGAGGACCCTCCACACTGTTCTCCATAGTGGCTGCACTGATTTACATTCCCACCAACAGCATACATTTTCTTCACGTCCTTGCCAGCACTTCTTATCTCCTGTCTTTGGATGATGGCCATTCTAAGAGGTGTGAGGTGATGTCTCATTGCAGTTTTGTTTTCCATTTCTATGATGATTAGTGATGTTGAGCACCTTTTCATGTACGCATTGGCCATCTGTACGTCGTCTTTGGAAAAATGTCTATTCAGATCCTCTGCCCATTTTTCAAATCAGATTTTTTTTTTTTGCTATTGCATTGCATGAATTCTTTATGTATTTTGGATATTAACCCTTTACCAGGAATATGATTCGCAAATATTTTCTCCCATTCCGTAGGTTGCCTTTTCGTTTTGTTGATGTTTCCTATGCAGGAAGCTTTTTAGTTTGGTGTAGTCCCAGTTTATTTTTAATTTTGTTGCCTTTGCTTTTGGTGTCAAATTCATTTCTTTCTATTTCTTCAATAAGTACTTTTTAAAGTACCAAATATGTACCTTCTCAGAAAAATACAGAGAGCCATAGATCAGCCTTTCACCTGAAATCATTCTTTTTAGATCCTCAAAGGATTTCGGCACAAAGTGAACATGGCGAGGAGATTTAGATTCCAACATCCTTTTCTTTCTTTTTTTCCTTTTTAATTTTGAGTGAATCACAGCTTAGAAAACAAGTGGTATGTGTTTCAGGGTCAGTGAGAGTTGCTGATTATGGGTTGATTCCTTTCTACTTAAAGTGAAAAATCCTGATCTGATCAACACATTTCTTTCTTTCATAGGTGAGTTACAGAGAGAGAACAATGGATAAGACATTGTCGCTAACCTCAGTACATTAAAAAAAAAAAGCATGTGAATGATACTGGATTCTAATTATTTCCAATAAAATGTGTTAATGTCTATCATACAGAGACAGGAGTGGGAAGGATTTGGGTGCCCTTGCCCTTGGTGATTAGAGAAGACTTCCAAGAAGGCATTAGGTTTCAATTGCATCAGAAAATTGTTCAGAACAAATATAATTTTACTTGCCACAGGGAGCAAAACAATCAGGAAAGGATACATTATTGAAATACATTTGGATTTTCTCATGACACTGAAGTGACTCTTATAATTTCTTTTCAGTACTGATAGATCTCAGTCTGACAGCCGTTAAAACTGCAGCAATACATTCTCCCACTTATGGAAAAAAGAAAGAATTAATCATATTTAATTGACATTTTATTGCTAGCCTAGCCAAGTAGAGTGGAAAGAACTGGCTTTATTTTCGGTACTTATTCAAAACTTCTCTTACATTAATTGTACTGTAAGGCACAGAACTGTTGTGACAGCCACTGTTCACCTGGTCTCCCCACAACTTTTTGCTCCTGCATATAACGAATGACTCCATATACCGCATGACTCCATATACCGCCTCAGAACTTGTAGAAAGAGCCCCACTGATTCTTTTATTTAAGCACATTTAAATGTTTTTATTAACTTTCCAAAATAAATGAATAAGGAAATGTTCCCTCACTCCTTTCAACTCCTTATAAGGGCACAGAACCTTTAAAGGTGATAGGAATTCCTGTTAAAAATGACTTCCCCAAGAGTCCTCCAGTTTTGCACTAAAGAATCTGTGATGGCAAAACTCTAAGCAAGAAGCTGACTGAGCAGAATAGAGAAACATAATCCATAACCTCCCCCTAAATTCTCCCGTACTTGCCAAACAACAGGCTGGGGGATCAGGGGGCGCTGGTGCCATGCACATGGCAAGATGTGGCAGAAGCTCTGGAAACCGTCAGTGCTTGACACTCTAGTCCTACTGTTTCTGGTAAACTCATCCAAACGCTATGGTCAAGGCTACCAGAGTCCATGTCGGGTCAACAGAAAAGCACTGACCACAGGTGCCACAATCTGCTCTCCAGGACAGGAGTGGGAGGGGTGTTTCTCCTGTCATCGAGTGCACTGACCAGGGACAAAGGACATAGGCAATTGTGGGAAAATTCTGGTCAGATCCAATGATACTTTTCTCATTAGAAGATAAGGGAAAAGGAAAAAGGCAATTAAACAAACGAAAATATAGATCCCATGAGAAACACTTAGGTGACACAAGAAAAGGGATAGCATCCTAAATACAAGGAGGAAGCGCACGATGGAAAAGACTTACTAAGGAGACCAGACTAAACAGAGGGAAGCGGATGTGGTAAGCTCAGTGGTAGGCAAGGATGTGTACCATTATGAGGGGGGAAGCCAAGAGAAGATAAAAAGGCAAGCATATTTAATTATGGAAAGCATATAAAAACTGAAATAAAAATGGAATGTGGTGAAATGATGAAAATTTATGAGCACTAAAATTCCAAAAGGAAAACTGAAATCCACCACTGAAGATAATAAACTGAAGAAGCAATACTACAGAAAATCAAATCAACAATGAAGGAAGAACTTGAAAAGTTCCACTTGACATATAATGGGTAAGGACAAAGAAATTAAAATAATAATAAAATATGATACATATAGAGAATGTCAACTATAAACTACAATGACTGGTCTTTTTGAAGACATAATTTTTAAAAATGTTTCCTCGAAAAAATTCTCAATGAAAATCTATACAGTTTTATTTTTGAACTTGAAAAAATTTATTCTCAAGGCCATTTAGAAGTATGAACAGGAAGACCACCTAATAAAAAGTGTTGTAACAATTGGGTATTAAAATATCTAATAAAGCTAAGGTAACTAAGTTAATGTGGTGGTAGCGTAGGAACCTACAGGTTAGATTAATAAACAAACGCTGTATGTGAAAACAAAGTATAAACTAAAGGAGGCATCACAAACCAAAGGAAAGGCGTTAGAGTGATTCAACAAATAACTGGGAAGTTGAATTCTTTTTCCACTTGGAGCCTCAGTTCACTCTATGCATCAATATATTTTCCAAATATATTAAATAAAGGTAGAAAACTAAGATATGAGATGAATCACTTTTTAGCAATATGATGAACCAGGCTACCAAATTAACCCTCATGCTACAGAATACCTAAGAGTATTAAATAGATACATTCCCCCTCATAGACCCATACAGACACACAAACCTAGAATTAACAAGAGGAGGAGAGGGGCTGAACTGTCTAGAAAATAAGGATCAGCTGTGGGAGTCCGAAATAACAAGAGCGAGCCAACACCAAGAGCTGATCTGCCTGACACTGCTGAAGCTGTGCTACTGGGGAATTTACCAATTCCTTGCTGACAAACATTTTGGGTTTTACCTGGCTACCTCCACACAGGATGGAAGACAAAGGCTGCTGCCTGTACAGGGTGAGATTTTGGAACTGAGGCAACCACACGAGACTGAAGCCATCAAAAGTCACCGTAAGTAGGTGAACTAGGGGAAAAAAACAAAAGGAGAGTGTGAAATCTTCTCTGCTTCACTTGGTTCCCAGTGGATAAGACAAAAGGAAAAAGAATTTCTGAAAATTCGGAGTTGTAAACCAACCCTCACCCCGGCTGAAGACGAAGTTCGCATCTATTTTAACACTTATATGGACTGTCTTATTCCTTGAAGGTTAAGCAGTCGTAGGTCCTAAAGCCACTTGCATGTTGCTTTGTCCAGGAGTCTAGGAAAGGGTGTGGAGATCTTGGCTTCCCTTTCATTTTTTACTATCCATACGATATAAATATATTTATGGATTATATTAAATCCATATAATATAAATCTATATAATAAAATATAAAACCATTGCCTTTAACTTCCTTCCTCAACGTGTGGCAAGGAGTGGGGGATGGATTCAGGCATGGTAAGTGTTGTAAATATAACAATAAATATACTCTGATATATTCACTGCATATTTAAAATTTTTGCATCAAAAAATTTACCAAATTACTGATTTCTGTGTAATTATTTAGTGTTTTGTATTTGTCCCATCATTCTTTAACATAAGGATTTCAATTTACAATACACACTTCTGAATTAATAAGCAAAAATTTAGAGAGCTGAGAAAGCTTGATCAATCATGGAGAAATGACTAGCCTAGATCTTCAAGACAGAGGAAATTAACCCCAATGTGTTCATGTATTGCTAGAAGGCTTCTGTTAGGTTTTCAGAGTTTGAAAGATTGTGACCTTTCAAGGTAGACAGAGAGATTTGGTTTGCAGGTGTGAAAATACTCAGAAATTCCACATTTAAATTTTAGGACATGGCTTTGTGATCACGAACTCTACTCTTAAAAGAATTATTCATAGCATGATTCAAAAAGTTATGAACAATGATTGTGTCAAGAGAAAAACAGAAGCAGATTCATGATCCATTCTAACGAGCATCAGTAACGTCGCTATGCTTTGTGTGGGCATCTGCTCTATACAACCCTTGAGATGTTCTCCAAACTAAAATGGTAAAATGGCCAGAAAAGTGGAGTGACCATGATGCAATCTGGTTGAACAATACCCATAAACCACATGTTGGATTGGCTGCCACTCTTAAGTCTTTAATTCAACTGCCTGAACACAAAAAAACATACTTCTCACCAAACAGCAACTGCATCTGATTTTAGAATTAAGCTCAGAGGAGTGGATTTTCCAAAGCCACTAAACTAGTTAATGATGGAGCCAGACCAGAACCCAGGGCTCCCAGCTGGCACTCTGCTCTATGTCCCCGCATTTCCCCAATTCTATTACACCTCTGTCTTCATTATGATCAAATCATGAGTAAATTAATAATTACTTGAAAATGTCATTTTTAAGAATAACTCATTTTCATACTTTGAGTTGCCTTTTCACAGCCTCTTCAGATATGGCTTCTGAAATTAGAACATAGAGGCCATTAAAATACTCACAAGTACACAGTAATGTATGGCCTTTAGTGATAAATCACCCTGGCCTTTATCTTTCTTACAAATTGATTATGCCCTCTAGCATGAATTAGACAGGGATTCAAATGGTTATTTTGAACTACTTGTTCTTTAATAGGTTTTTTTAAATAAAAACGTCTGCCTATGTTTTCATAGCTTTCTCCTTGGTTGTTTTTTCTCAACAGGCCTATGGCTTTGAATTTAAACAGAAAAAATGCGTAATTAAAGTTACCAAACATTTAATGAGGATATTATGGTAATAGAGAAGATTTTGCAAAATAAGGCATCTTAAATAGATCTAAAGAAATTTTACTTTTAGACAAAAATAAAGGAAAACATCCACTTATTTATCCAGTGTTAACTTCTCAGTAATATTATCTAAGTGGAAGCCATACTCCATAGAAATGCTGTAATGGTGTTTTATTTTAAATACTCACCACCTGCATGCCATTCTACCACAAAGCATTTATTTGAGGTAAGCACAGTGTCCAAAACTTTAGCAGGTTTCTAAAAGGCTAATTATTTTTACATCCCACCACTACAGAAACTTATAATAGTCAAACCTGTGAAACCAATCTTGGAAATAGAAAAAAACAAAAACAAAACACATGCTACCTAATTTCTCTCAAAGACAATCAGAATTTATGTTTGCTCCTCCCATCTCCCCCCTATCCTCTCCTGCTCTCATTTCTCACTGCTTTTTGCCAGAGACGCTAGGTGTCTCTCAGTTTTAACCACTCATGCTACTGGTGCACATTGACATGACCATGACCATTACAGAAGGCACTGGAGAGAAAGCAGATACAAAACCAAACATCTATAGGATTCCTGCCACACTTTCCAGCTCATCAAGGCCCTGCTCCCAGTCTGCTTGCCAGAGATGTTTCTGCCCAAGCTTTTGGGCAGACACCGTATTCTTTTTTTTTTGTTTTGTTTTGTTTGCGGTATGCTGGCCTCTCACTGCTGTGGCCTCTCCTATTGCAGAGCACAGGCTCCGGACGCGCAGGCTCAGCGGCCATGGCTCACGGGCCCAGCTGCTCCGCAGCATGTGGGATCTTCCCGGACCGGGCCACGAACCCGTGTCCCCTGCATCGGCAGGCGGACTCTCAACCACTGCGCCACCAGGGAAGCCCCCTGTCTTAAAATATAGCCTCCTTATTCCTCTCTTTTTCCCCCTTCCACTTCTTCTCTCTATAATACAATCTATTTGTTGGGAAAATAAGTTGTTTTTCCTATACAGGCTGGATTTTACCAAAGGTTTCCTCATGGTTAATTTAACATGTTCCTCTGCATTGCCTGTAAGTTTGTAACTCATTCTAGAGCCTTCAAGTTTGATGTGTTGACAAGACAGACTACTTCAGAAGTCACGTGGCATTTTAACCAGGCATCTGATTCCAAAGCTCATGCTCTGAGCCAAAATAATTTCACTTACCCTTGGAGCCATCTCTTAAAAAGATCTAGCCTCCATGTGGCAAATGCCCCAGATAACGTTCATCTTTGTTGCCAGTTGAGCTGATAGATAGAAGTTTTTTCTTAATAAGAAGTAGCTACAAAAAGGCATTCAATGATGTGGAAACGTTTAGGCCAATAGTATATTTTGACAAATTTTAAGCCTTATTTCATCCTTACCTAATAAATTATTATTTGCATCAAAAACACTGGTAAAGGAAAAATTGCGCTAATCTAAAATAGAGCTCATTATCGGGAACTTCTAAGTCCTTGTTAAATAATTCAAAATAAAAAGGGAAAAGACATACTGAGGACCCCTAATCCCTATATTGTCCACTTGAGCACAGTTTGATGCAAACTCTATTCTCACTGATGGATTGACTGCTGACTGCACCAGGCTTCCAGATCCTAGAGATGATCAAAATATGCATCATTTGAGAAAACAATATGGTTTCTCTCTCAACTGAAATAGGTCAGCTGTTTCTTGCTCTGAGCTACGATTACTTTTCTCTTTATCTTACTAAAAATGATTATTTTGTTGCCACATTTTGCCCTGATATAAAAAGTTAGTTTACTTTGGAGAAAGTATGCATAATCTCATTCCAGATTCAGAATCTTTAATTCGCATGTTCTATTTTTGTAAATGAGTTGCTTAGCTTTTATTTTATTTAACAAGTTAAACAGACATTTGAAAAGTAAAAATGCTTCCTGATGTAAGCAGGTGAGTTTTTCAGCTTTCTTTTGCTAATATGCTTTACTTCCAATTTAAAAAAATCTGTTTTCATGTAGAAATTTCATTTGCTTTGTAAACATTAGGCTTATAAAGTATTTAATATGAGTAGGCATATAATACTCTAAATTCAGATTTCACCCCAACCTTATCAATATTCCAAAAGCATTGCCATTTCTAATAGCTTGGCTACTACACCCCAAAACACGCTGAGAGGTATAAACTGTACATAAGGAGAAAATATTTCTGTAAAAAAGCCATTAAAAACTGGTTTCATTTTAAATGAATATAGTTCTGATGCTCACAGACTTTTTCTTTTAGAATCTATTTTGTATTTTTAATTGTGAAATATTTTTTCAACATAAAAATATTTCACAATATAAAAAGCATAGCTCTTGAGTACACAAACTATATATTTTCAACACTCATTGATATTTTTCTTATATTTACTTCAGAGTCCGTATTTTTAAAAGAAACTTTAGAAGTATGAGTATACTGGAGAACTGTTTCGTGTGTGTGTGTGTGTGTATGTGTGTTTAAGTTGTTTTGTGTATAATTTTCAAAACTGGTTTGAGTATCTCTCCTCCTTGGATACTTCCTTCTTCCTTATAAGTCAACATTTATGCTTTCAAAATTTATCACTGTTGACACATGAAGACCTAATTTATTCATTTCAACTGCCACAAAATATTCATTTTTGCCATACCACATCCAGCCATCTTTTGAAAAGGGACAATGTTATTTCCAAGTTTGAGCTACTTCAGAAATGTTAACATGCACATCCCTGTACAGGTGTCCTTTGTACAGTATACAAAGTATTTTAGAGCATATATATCTTTAACTTTACCCGGTGATAAACTCCATTTCCCCACACAATCACTAACACCTGATATTGTTGCTAAGTTATCTTTTTTTAAAAGTTAATATCAATAGAATTGGTATGAAACATGTCATTGTTTTCTAGACTTGCATTTCCTGGAACCGCTGAGGTTGATCATCATTCAGGTTAATTTTCCTTCTGCGTTTTCCCTTCTATTAAAGTGCCTTTTCATATTGTTACCTCACTTTTCTATTGGATTGTTTATCTCTTCTTATTCGTATGCAGTTCATTGTATAATATATAATATTATATAATTATAATGATAAATTTTACAGATTTTTTGAGGGAAATACCATAACCCTATTTACCATGTGAACAACTGAAATATACCTTTATAAAAACATTTTCTTTCTCAGCTGTCTTGGTTCCATAAACAATTCTAGCACGCCGAGGCCTTGGGAACGTGACAGCCAGTTGAGAGGAAGAAGACAAAGCTGCTGGTACTTACTGGGGATATGCCCCCTGGGAGAAAGACAAGA